AAAATAATGAACTAGTCAAATTTAGTGTTTCCTATTGTTACTGTATCAATTATTCCATCTATCCTAGTAACCAAAATATTCATATTATGATTTCTCATTATATTTGAATAAGTCAAACTTGTTCAGCTTAATTGATTAGGGTCATCATTCATGAGAATAATCATTTAACAAATTCTAATAATTGCCCAGTTCTACTGTACATAGCTTCCACATGGAATTTATGGTGATAATTGTTTATATGTCTGCTGAAATAAATCATTTTTTGTAAAAAAAAAAAAATGATTAGCGATTAATGTTTCATTTGTAATTCCTACAGGTTGAAGAACATGCCAAGAAACAAGAGGATGTGAAGGTGGAAAAGGTTTGTGTGTTTGTTAAGTTAAAAAGCTTTGTGTGAGAATATTCACAGAGAACTCTTTATGGTTTCTGATTTTCTGTCTGCAAAAGACTTGTAATATGTAGACTCTTAATGTTTACAGAAAGCTCGCAAAATTTCATGAAGATACCCAAAACATTTTAAAAGTTATAGTATGGTAACTCTAAAGGTCAATTTGCAGTCATGCACCCAGCCAAATTGACTGAGCCTGTAGTGAAATATTAAATGATACAAACCTTTTCAGCCTTCTCATTCTCTTCTTCCTTGGCAGCTTCTTCAATCTATACAAAATAAAGATAAAGGATAAATACACTTACATATTGGAGCCACGATGTTTACATATGGGTGACCTATTTCAGTAAATATTTCACATTTCAGTCATTAGATTTAATTTCTCTGAACATATGTATAGAATAAATATTTCATTTCCCAAACTTCTTTTTTTCTTTAAAAAAGATAGTTCCATACAATTAGGAATTAGAGATCTTGTTTAATAACAAATTATTTTAAAATCAAAGTTAACAAAGATACATAACAAAACTATGATAGTTTCATGCTCTCCAGAAATACCAACAAGTACATTCACACGTGCATTTCCACAGTTAAGTCTGACATTAACATAGAACATAAACCTGGGAAATGTAAGATATTATCAAATGGAGTCAAGGTGTTGACTGCTCCAAGTACAAAGTAATTTTCATGTAAAGATTAAAAATACTTTTCTTCATCTGAAAATTGTCAAGTTTCATTTGTATGAGCTCCAAAACCTCCTAAATAAATTTCACTTGTTTTTTTTCCAGAAAACTTTTTATCTTATCTGTTATTTTCTCTACAATAACACTGTACAAGGTTAGTCAGTTTGCCCGACCTTGTAACCATATATATAAGTCGAAATGTATTTAAATTACCCTTTTTTTCTTTCTAGAATGTCTTCATATTGTAGCGTGAAATTCCATTTGTGTGTCCTAAATAGCTTTAAACTCCTAACAATATGTAACTATTTATACTTGAATTTTCTTGTTTTATTACCCTTTGAACTGTGTCTAACTAATAATCCTGCAACAAGTTGTAAATCACTTAGTGAACTTGTAACTAACATTACCATATTGAATTATGTAATACAGAGCATATTTTATATTATAAAGATATTACAAAGGCATAGTCTAATTTTTATAACTTTTAATCTTATTTGTTTACAG